TGTAATGTCAATCGATATCCTCTGATACCTTGATCTTGACCCCTGTCTTTTTTATCCTTTCCTTAAACACACCTTTTTTCTCTTAATTTCACTCTCTGTAACCCCTTGCGTGTTAGTGGCACTCCCGTCTAGCTTGGGTTGGGATGATTAAAAAAATATTCCGGAGAAAGAAATTGTCTAGCACGACGCAATGAAATAAATTTTGAGCAGTAGATCTAGCAATTGATTCAAAATAATATTTCCTTTTCACGTAAGCAGAAAATGTTTGTCCAAAATGCCGCAACTTGCCGCTCTCCTGGAAAATGACATCAATTCAAAAATTTGCCCAGAAATACCATAACTTTCAACTTGTGAAGACCTGTATGCCACACACTGTCGAATGTTTTCGAGATGTCCAAAGCAACATCCGGAGCTTCAGCATTTTTAGCCAAAGCTTGACAGTCCCTATCAGCAATAATGGTTAATACATCAGCAGTTGAACTAGAGATGCGAAAGTCATATTGCTTATCTAACTGAAGTCCATGCAATGTGATATAAGCATTGATTTACTTATATACTGTCGCACCATTACCCGAGTCTTTATTGTGGCTATCGAAATATTTCGGCTGTTGTGTCCTCTAGCCCGGTTTCCAGTTTCAGTCGATCTGGTTAACCTTCAGGAAAATTCGAAATGAATCCTTTTATTCAATCTATGCGTGTAGATTGTTCTAATGTCCCTGTAGAAGACCATGGATATCGCGTCTCTTTCATCCTTTTTTGCCCATAGGCGCCACAGAAGAGTTCTTTTATAGACAAATTCTTTTCTTTAGTCTTCTTTTTTAGTTCCCTAAACTCCATTGAAGTGTAGAGGCTCACAGCTCTCAACCGTACTAGATGTTACTGTTCTGGTTTCCATTGCAAATCAGGTTTTACAGAACGACGTTGTTAACCCCAGGTCCAATCGAGTTTCGCTTATCATACACGGTCTTCCCAAGCATTCTCTAATCTTAGTACTGACAGGACTCAAAACTGCTTAAACTTACGATGTTTCAACGTGAATTGAACGTAATTTACTGTATGTTAGTTGAAGTCTGTTATGGTTATTTGTGTTTCGGATGAGTAGTACAATAACCACTATGACATGAAATAATTTGTATTTTTTTCATTTTTTCCCTGTATCAGTATAGATTAAGTACTCAGGTTACCAATATCTAAAAAAATAGAACAAATAAATATTATATTTCATAAAAGTTAATCGGGGTTCAATTTTCTATTTAAATTCAATATACAAGGTGGTCCGAAAATTTTGTCACCCCTATATAATATAATTTTCTTTCAGATGGCTTACACGAAAATGATCGTGTTCATAAAGACCTTCTCGATGTATGACAGCATCAATGAAAGAGAATGAACTGAATCAAGTACATGCGTTTTGTTTATTCCACGCTCCTTAAAACCTTCAATCTCCTGACCAGAGTCCTTGCTGCAGGATGTACTTTAATCGTCATACACAGGACACCTTTGTGAAAGAAGCTACAGGCTAGAGAATACTTCTCGCTTCTCAAGATCGTGCACAAGTTTTTGAACTTCGTATAAAATTAAACAATATTATTTACATTATTCGGACTATTGTCCTCATCTTTGTCGCCATATTTATCACAACGTTTCGGCCGTTGTACGCTCTGGCCTTCTTCAGGTGGTTGGAATGTCTAACTGAACGGTTTATTTCGCTCACTGGGGTAGACTGTTCTAGTTCTACGTGTCATGCTTGATGGATGTCACTTATCAGTTATGAGGAACCTTGATGACACATGGCAGAGTGGATAAAGGCGTTGGTTAGATCCAGTGACAGGACCCAAAGAGAGTGAGTTCAATACCCGGTTAAAGCAGTGGAGAACTTTCAGAGCGGAAATTAACAGGAGATAACTGATAACTGACATCCATCAAACATGGCACGTGAGACTAGAACAGTCTACCCCTAGTGAGCGAAATAAAGGTTTCAGTTTGACATTCCAACCACCTGAAGAAGGCCGGAGCGTACAACGGCCGAAACGTTGTGATAAATATGGCGACAAAGATGATGACAATAGTCCGAATAATGTAAATAATGTACATAATGCCTCATCTCAGAAATATAGACAGACTCCAAAATTAAACAAGTGCTGAAAGTCAAATATCTAAGACTTGTTTTGATGGAAGCCGGAAAGTGTAACACTGAGTCGTATTGGGAAAACCAAGGAAGCATTCCAAAATCTAAGCAGAGTACTAGAAAATAGAAGCATTTCGTTACAAACAACTAAAAGAGTACTAAAATGATACATAGTCCGTGTCCTCCTCAAAGGCAGTCAGTGGTGAACGACCTCCTCAAAGATGAAGAGGAGACTTGAATAAACAAAAATGTGATACTACGCAAGGATGCTGAGCATGACATGGACTGAATATGTGAGCAACGACGAAATTTCAGAGAAACAAAAAAGACACCAGGAAGAGTCTGAAGAGATTTATGAGGCACATAATGAGGAAGGAGGGTTTGGAAAATCTGATACTCACGGGACAGATAGAGGGCAAAAGGGACAGATGAAAACAGCACAAAACATATTTAGTGAACTTGATTAAATGGATGGCGAAAAAAGACTTCGGAGAAATAATTTGAAAAAGGGTAGCACGCCTAAGTCCTCGGCCACGATGACTTGTGACTTCGTGCTAGCACAGATATCGACGCCCCTAATGTTTCCGTCTACCCGAGTCCACTCACAAGGCTTGGGTCAAACCGTAGTATGGTTTTCAGGCACTTTCCAAAGGTGCCACACGCATATATATATATATATATATATATATATATATATATATATATATATATATATATACACTTTAAATAAAAACAGACCAATTTAAGGTTCCATGTAATAAATTATTTCATCACAGCCCTTTTAAAGGACTGCGGATTTATATTGAGCTCTCTGGATTTTATCCTCGTTAGGTTTACCCATACGCATTACCTAGTTTTTCATAAACTATATATATATATATATATATATATATATATATATATATATATATATATATATATATATGAGAGGTAACTCTAAGAAATTTAATCACTAAGCAACCCCGCTTATTTTGAAACTAAATTACGTTCCTGGTTTTTAAAACTTACCTCACCACATATTTTCGGTTTAGAGAGTAAAACTATGGATGAAGTATCTGAGTCTTGCTAAATATTTTACTCGAAATATCGTGATTTAATTGAAAATTTTAGTCTTCATACTATTAAAGACTGTCATTTTTGTTTAAATTGACAAAATTTTAAGTAATGACATTTTTTTTAAATACCTTAATTTCGGTCAATACGGTGTGGTGCTGTACCAAAAAAGTCAAATGAACATTAAAATATTTCCTGTCAGTTAGTGAATAAAATAAACTATCAAATAAATATTTAAATTAAATAGATTCATTACAAGAGAATAAATTCACATGGAAGAATTTTCGTCAACTTTTATTTTATGCAACAGAGGACATTATTTTGAAGAGGAATCCTTGAATATTTTATAGAAGTCGTTCGAATTACAAAAAGAGCCTGCATGTGCAAGATTCTTAATGCAATGCATTTTCTGTAGATGTTTGAGAAACAAACTGCTCTATATAAGGAGAATAAAATTTTTTCACCGTTTTAGCGTAATATATAATAAAAATATTTAAGGAATGAACTGAAATAATTTATACTTTTTTTCAGTTACACCAGGGAGTGATAAAAAGTAATATAAAATATCTTAGGACAATTCTAAAAGATTATCGAAAGTGCCATCGCCAGGAGGGATATAGACAAACTGGTATTTTCTGCTAAATACATTATATTCCTTAAATTAGTAGGAGCTTTCTCCTAAACTAGGTTGCACGGGTGGACATCGGTGGTGTGGAAGGCAGAAACCAAATTTGCAGTTGTCAATTCAAAAAATATCTAGGAAGGGCGATGTTGGACGTGACAAGAATGGAATAAAAAGAGCCCCATCAAATTTTCTCGAATATTATCGTATACAACATACACCTGTTGAAGTCGACAGAGACACCATGCTCAAGTGCGATAAAAGAAAGAAAAAGTATAATAAAAACAATGACAAAAACTGTGTTTTGGCATTGGTAGTAAGATAAAATATGATTTAATTTTATTTATTTATATTACTAAAAATATAGTGAAACTAATTTGAAATAGTTTTCATATTTTCTTTTTCAGTCCTAATTGGGATGATTAGCATTCAAAAATTTCGTTCGTTTTTTTTTCTGTTGTCTAATTAATCGCAGAAACCAACAAACCCCAAATCAACAATATGGTAACAGTTATACTGATATCCTTGAGTTTAGCTCATAATAGCACCGGTAAACATGGCAACGGTAAAAATGGGAAAAAGGCAGATAGTATTTGATCTTATAATATGCTTTGTATGCATGTATCCTTGGAAGCAAATCTTCACTTTTCTTTTATTACTTAATGAGACTTCCATGATGGGATTATCGTAGAGCCACTGAGATAAATGCTATGTATTTGACAGTTCCTGGACAAATGGACCAGAAGCAAATAAACAAACAAATGTCCTCTGATTAGAAATTTAACTCTAAATATCCTAAAATTAAGCAGCTAATGCTGTTTAATTTTAAGATGTATAAAGGGTTACTTTTTCACTTGTGCTAATTTTACTTATTTTTTTCACTTATGCCAAACTGTACCATTATTACCGTTCACCGATATGTAGAAACATTCGGCAAGTGCACCACGAGTTATGCTTTTCTTCAGTCTTTGATCATCGAGCAAGGATCAATGTAATAACAATCCTAATTTCTAATTGTAATATCAATATTAGTTGTTCAGCATTCATTCATTGACTATGCAGTCAGTGCAACTCGAGTTATGCTTTTCTTCACAATCTGGTCATCGGGCCGGAATCAAAGTGTAGTATCTGTCTTCGGACAGAGCGCATCTCAGTTGTGACTTTCTCTTCTGACAGAGTGTAACTAAAAATATTGAGAGCTATCCGTTTCCGAAGAACAGCTACTTCCAGTAGTACCTCCCTCACTGTACTAAACGGGGGATGGGGGCGGTAGAGATACCGATGCATGCGCATGCGTGAGCTGAACAGTTTTGTGTCCTGTAATTTACGATATAATTCAATAGTTCTTATTTACTCGACATATTATGATTCCGTTTGTTCTTCGTTTAGTTAGTAAATCAGTTAGGCCGTACGTTACGCCTTGCCATTACCTCAGAAAAAAAATAAGGTCTCGTTTATATTGCGAGGAAACACGGAATAAAAAAGATATATTAGTGACACTATTTGGTTTTAATAGAAAGAAAGAATAAAACAAACAGGAAGCGATAACGCTTCTGTGCAAGGTTTTATTCAATGAAATCAAAAATTATTAAGAATTCTCATCAGAGAATTCAAACAGGCAAAAGGCGTGATCTTTTCCAAAGGAACAATACATTCAGATCTTGTCGCAGACGAACAAAAAGCACTTGAAACGAAAGAAACTTTGTTCGTCGATGAATTCTACGAATACCATGGACAAAACTTGTGACACAAAGAGTCCTCTTAAGGGATGTAATAGGTGGTAGTCGACGCTTAATTTTTTAGGCAATTTCCTCACCCCTCCAATATTAAGACCCCCGTTTATTGACTACTGTTACAAGTTTCATACTTTTTGACTCATTAAATGATTTCCCGACTCCAAATTTTATTTAGACGTTATTAGATTTATTGTATAATGAGAAATATTCCCTATCACAATTATTAAGGTCACGCCTTGTATCAGTTATCGAAGAGTAAATCTTAAGAAACAATACAAACAAGGAAAATACCGTATATTTCCACGTATAAGGCGACCTATAGATAAGACGTGAACTAAACTAGAAAAATAAAACTAAACTAGAAAACTAAAAAAAAAAAAAATGTATTTTATCCAACCCTGGCCCCGAGCTATAAAAGATAGGAAACAGTGGAGATACGCAATCACCATGTTAAAAAAAAGATCCCTCGGGAATCAAGGGTGTGCTACAGGAAAGCAATTGCGCAGGGCATGATTGCAGTACGGGTACCTATTGTAAAACCACTACGCAGAAGATTATATTTGAATTTTATTCGTACCATTTCTTCCGTATTAAGAACGTGTACATTGCCTTCAACATCGATAAAGGTTATAAACAGTGATCCCCAGTGCTGAAAGCAAGAAATATGTCATGGAAGCAGAAACGTTTAAACAGCGATCTGACAGTTTCTGAAAAGTTTAAAAGTCAAGGATTATATAGCTAAGGTGAGCATCCCACGTAAAGGGCCTATAGTAAACATCTCTCATAAACGAGTGGCTGAACCATTCTAAAGGATATGCGGGTATTGCATCATAAGAGTGATTTTTCCCAAGCGTGTATGTTCGTCACAACCTTGCTAAGTTGATGCTTTTATGAGAAAAAGGAATGGCAATAGATCGTATATATAAGATGGCCCGCAATATGAAAAAGAAACCAGTTTCTCATTCTTGTAATGTAAAATATTAACAGTGAAGTCATTTTATATTAAATTTACCTTCAGACAAAATACTTCTTTTTGTGTTTTAAATAAGCATAACCTTGCTTTGTCCGTCTTTCGTTTTTCACTCTATTCCTCTTTAGATTTTTATCTGACATGTTCTTTTTTCCCTCTTTATCTTTCTAACTAGCCTTATTTTTCTTTTGTACCTTTTCCTTTTCTTTTTCAATTCATTTTTATCTCTTTCTCTCTCTCTCCCTGTCTTACAAATATTTCCTTTTCTCCTCTTTTCTGGTGGCTTCTTTTTTTCCTTTTTTAACATCTCTTATTTCTTTTCTCTGTCCCCGTATCCCATCTCCTTGCAGTGATTGACAGTCTTTTTTCTTTGTTTCTCCTTTGATTTCTTACACTCCTTTTTTTTCGTCTCCCCCCACCTCACAATGCACTGATTTCTCTTTCCTGTACTCATTCCTTTCTCTTTTAGATTTCTGATTTTTCTCCATTTTTTTTCTTTCTCAACATCTCTCAGTTCTTCTCTCCCATTCCGCCGTAGTTTTCACGCTCTCACAGACACTCTTTCTTTTCTTCCACACTCCTCCACATTTTACTCTTTCATAAACACTCTCTCTTTTCTCTGACTGATTGTTTCCTTTTTTTCCTTTCTCATATTCCCTCGTCTACATTCTCTTCTCTTCTTCTTCTTCTTCTTCTTCTTCTTCTTCTTCTTCTTCTTCTTCTTCTCCTCTTTCACCTTCTTACAATCCTTTTCTTCTTCTTTCTTATCAAACTGTCTTTTCTTTCTCATATTCTCTCGATTTTATTCTCTTTCCCCTCTTCAGATCTAGTTGTTTCTCTTTTATCATTTCTTGCTCTCTCTCTTTTTTTTCAATCTTATACTTTCCATACTCTATATCGTCTTATATTCGCCTTACCGCTGTCTTTTGTTTTTTTTTTTTTACAGTCTCCGTCCCTCTTGTCAAACTTGTATTTTATCTTCGTCGTCTAAGGATATGAATCGTTATAAATCTATATTGCAGCCTTTAATATTGAACCGAACATGTACGGACATACATTATATATATGAGATCTGGGGCACCTCGAGGCGGTGTAATGGTTAGCAAGCTTGGCTCGCCAGAGCAATTACGACTGAGTAGTGAGTTCGATCCTCACTGGGTGCCCCCTAGTTTCGTCCTTGTGTCATATCTAAGCTTCGCTTGGAAAATCACTATATATATATATTAGATCTTTTAAAAATATAACAATCGCACATGCTGAAAGCTAATTTTCCAACCAGATGTTTCAGCTTAGAAATAATGGTATTTAACCAAAGAAATCTGATTTTCTTTGGATTTCGTTTGAACTTCATTAAAAATAAACAAAAAAAAAAAAGAAAAATTAATTTACTAAGAAAAACAATACTTCAAAAACTCTGTCAATCTCTACATCATCCTAATTCTTTAATGGATGTCGACTTTTATGTGTCAAGGATTTAATATAAAAGAAAAGACATCAAAGCATAATTTGTGCTTTAAATGAATTTTAACTGCATGGTCTTTCGGATTTTAGACTAAACAAATACTTTGAGAAGAAGAGGTCGAATATTTATTCATATTTTCTTCCAGTGTTGATTGCTTCGATTATCCAGACCAAGAACATGAATGAAAACCGAAAGAAAAATTCTACTAAAAATTTCAGATATATCTATTGATTTGTTTCAGTTAGAATAGTCGACCTTTCTTTACGTTCTGAACAAATATGATGGAGTAGGGAAGCGCTTTAATATTCTTTCTTTTTCCGCTCTTAAAAGAATAGTTTTGCTTGAATTTGACCCCGAAACAGTAAGCGCCCTGTCGACAGGGTCTAGAATACGCCAACCTCATCCTGTGCAAAGGGTTTAAAATGTCACTAAAAGAGCTATCAATCAAGTCAATTTTTATAGACTCAAATATAAAAGAAAACGATATTTTCCTATTCCAAGCCAAGTAAATAATTATATACCCAAATATAAACAACTCATATTTACAGATTCCCAAGTAAGTCAGTACGGAAAAACTAAAAAATAAATGACCAAATCCTATTCACGACTAAAGTAAATAGTGACAGACTCAAATAAAAACGTCCGGTTTTTATCCATTACCGAACCATGTAAATAACAGTTCTAGATATAATTAGCCAATATTTACCGATCTCCGAATTAAGTAAACAATTATAGGGACAAAAATAAACAACCAATGTTTTCATAGTCCACAACAAACTAAATGCTGGTAGTCTCAAATAGAAATGACCAATGCTTACCGATTTACGAACCAATATTTTTACCATTCCGAAGCCTCTCTCTCTCTCTCTCTCTCTCTCTCTCTCTATATATATATATATATATATATATATATATATATATATATATATAATATTAGTGGTAAATATACACATACATATGCAACATATATAAATATATATACATACATGCATACACATACATATATATTTTTTGAATAAAAAATTCAAGAGGATAGAATCAAGGTAGAACTCAATGTCCAGGACAGAGTAAGCATATAATAAAAATGCTTAAACACTAAAATTAGTGTTTAAGCCTTTTTATTATATATATATATATATATATATATATATATATATATATATATATATATATATATATACAGAGAGAGAGAGAGAGAGAGAGAGAGAGAGAGAGAGAGAGAGTGAGATGCTCAAATATAAATGAACTTTATTTGCCCATTTCCGGATCAAATAAATAATTATAGACTCAAATACAAACAAGTAATATTTACCTATTTCCCAAACAAATAAATATAGATAGACTCAAACATAAATAACCAGTATTTACCAGTTCACGAACGAAGTAAATTTTTATAGACTGAAACACTAACGAACAATATTAACCGATTTCAGAATCAAGTAAATAATCATAGACGACCAATATTTACCTATTCTCGAACCGAGTGAAAACATAGACTAATATATAAACGTTCAATATGTATTTATTCCTGCACCGATTGCCTTGTTGGCCGTCCTGTAAAACACCGACTGTGCAATCTGCGGAAGACGTCACCAAATGGTGTCACATACCATATAAATACTTATAGACACAAATATAACAAGTATTATTTATTTATCCTCTACGGAACTAAATAATTATTGGCCCAAATAATAATAATAATAATAATAATAATAATGATGATGATGAAAAATGTCGACTTTACATAACCCATCGGTGCTTGAACGCTACACAGCCCAAACATTAAACATGGAAGAAAAATTGCTTTGGATGCTCCAAGCAGTTATGACTCACTTTTGTGATTATATGATTACATTACCTCTGTCAATATTAACAGAGTATAAAAGCATTTGGCTGCTACTACCTGTAGAGCAGCTATTTAAGAATGATTTGTCTTAATGATTATAAGCGGTAGTTGATCCTAACTGATATGAATCAAGCTCTTCTTCTCTCAGCTGTGAGTTAATGAAAGCTGAGACTAGGTGTCATATGGATAGAGGTTTCCTAAAGATCTGATAATTTCTTAGGGAGATCGTTAATAAAATAGAGGTAGGGTCGATAAGAAAGCCTTGGGGTACGCGTGTATATGGACTAACATAAATAGGCGAGCAGAAACAAGATTGTGTATTCAAATCCGTTTGGGGGTGAATCTAGCAACTCGATCCAGTAAGAACTGACTTAACACCGAGATTCCAATAGCAGCATCTAGTGTAGTGGGTCTGCAGCCGAATATTTCATTTTCAGTGTTCACATACAACAAACATTTGCGACTATTATCTGAGTTGAAAGTTTAATTTTACACTCAATTGATTGGTTAGAGATTGTATTTCTTTGATATGATGCGAGAACATTAGACCTCCTAGCGTTTCGCCCTTTGCTTTAATAGTCTAGATACACCAGCATTATTTGTTCAGTTTCCCTGTTGCAAAATCCATAATTCGACTGGGTTATTTCCGTATGTATTAAAATTTGTCTTGCCTTTAATATATTACAATAGTCAATAACTTCTCATGACCACACATTTAAGAGACATTCAAAGCGAGTATATATGTCTGCCAACAAGTGTGTTATCTGATTACATTGTAGAGTTATTATATGTTAGCTTTATGAAGCAAAATTCACCAAAAGCAGAGAGATTCCATAATGAAGAAACGGAGCGGCAATATTGTCAATTAAGCGTTCAATATAACCGATTTACTCTTGCCTCCCTCGTGAATTTGTAAGCAGACGGTGCAATTTAAGGGGGGTGCTGTCTTGTTCTTTTGCTTCTGTCTCTATACGGCATTTCGATTTAGCAATGGCGAATTTTAAATCATGTATTTGGATATTTTCCTTCTAACATTACTATCGCCGATGGGAAGGGAAAAATAATTTTGCTTTTCATTATTAGAGCTTTCCTGGGAGAAATAATTTTTCGAGGTTAAGGCATACACCCACTCCCAGAGACACACACGCGTCAGGCCTGAAGATTGCGTTCGAGCGTAAACATTTGCAGCGTGGTGTTGAGCACAGTGTTCAATTTTACATATATATATATATATATATATATATATATATATATTGATCAATAAAAAATATTAAAATCTTCAGACATACTGGGTTGTATATTAAAATTCTTTCATTTTTATTATTATTTCATTTAGATTCCTCGACTAGTTTCGACCAACATGGCCATCATCAGGAGATGAAAAATTCTGCTTGCTGGTAGCAGTGAAATACAAAAATGAATGTCTTGATGGAGAAAATGAAATTTTGTCTGTAGTTTTCATTTGTTTTCGTTATGTTTTTAACATGAATTTTGGTCACCCTTGTGTTGGTCAAACAGTCTTTTTTAAGTTGTTATTTGAGACAAGAGCTGGATGAATTCATACTAAAATGTGTGTGTGTATATATATATATATATATATATATATATATATATGATATTTATATGTATTATTTATATATTATATATGCGCGTTACTTTTTACTTTAGTTGGATTGATGTGAGTTTGTGACCCTGGGTTTCACGCTCTCTGCGATCGTCAGACAAACTGATTAATTATTGAAATTGTATATTTATTTATGGTTGCGTATATCGGTGTTATATGGTAGTGGGAGGAAAAATTGTCGTCGGAACGCTACTCATACGCATGCAGACATACATACACACACGTTCACGCATTGCAGCTCACACTAACATAAACATATATGAACTGTGTGTGACTGGGCATATATGCGCACCCATGTGTCGTTGCGTGCTTACTTACGCAATTGGTCGCTGTATTCAATGTTGGATTGTGTAGCGAATTTATTTCCAAGTGGCTGTGTCAACTTACAGATCGTTCGTCTTTTTTGTGCTCGAGGAATAACGTTTTCTCGCATATATATATATATATATATATATATATAAGTATGCACGCGCGTTCACACACCTTCTATACGTGTGTATTTTGTTTTGTTTTTGTACTTAAGATAGGGTCTGTTATGGTAGATAAAATTGCTGTTATTTTAATTTTTTAAAATTCTGTTCTATTGTTATTCTAAAGCCGGTTATTTGATTGTTTTTGACGATTGCGCTTATATAAATGGTAGAAACTAAATTAAAACCACTGTATAAATAATAATAAGTATTATAAATTGAAGTCAACACTCAGACGCGACAGACTTTTTCATGCTAAACGCAATTACAAGACCACACGTGTTGAGATTTTTCTCGACTATTTATATATATGGGTCAGTGGAGTTTTGCGGGAAGTCAATTCTAACGGTTATTTTGGCGGGAGTGGCTTGTTAATTTATTGATTCATTTATTTGGATTAATTTGTTTTACTTGTTTCTTTTTTCTTTTTATTTTATATATATTTTTTAAGTAACGTAGTAAAAATTTTGAGATGAGTCCTGATTGTTTATTTAGTAATTTTTTTTTTGGTCTGTGTAGGTAATTATAGCTATTTTTTCGACAAATTTTGGATTGATTATTGTAGTCAACTCTAACGTTTATTTTGGTG